TTACCTTTCGAACACAAAAATGGAGATAATACTTTCTTCCGAAACGTCGGTGAACTATCGGGCTACACAGCGTCACATCTCAGAAGATAAGGTTAGCACTCTTCAAAAAATTAATGAATTAAGTGAGTGATAGTTATGTGAGAAAACTGCATAATGAGAAGCTTTATAACTTTTACTCTTCTCCAGGTATAATTAGAATGACCAAGTCAAGAAGGATAAGATGGGCAAGGCATGTAGCACGAATGGGGAGAGAAGGCATGCATACACGATATTGGTGGGAAAGCCAGAAGGAAAGATACCACTGGTAAGACCAAGGCGTAGATGGATGAAAAATGTTAAAATGGAACTTGAAATAAGATGGAATAGTATGGACTGGACTGATCTGGCTCAGGATAGGGGCCAGTGGAGGGTCCTTGTGAACACAGTAATGAACCTTCGAGTTCGTAAAATGTTGGGAAGTTCTTGAGTAGTTGCACAAATTGGCGGCTTCCCAAGAAATTAGTTAGCTTAATATTTATATGAATTTATCGGACGGGGATCAGCCCGTCGCAAGGCTACTACCTATACACAGAGCAACACAAACACAGAATAAGTGCAGATAGACACAGACATCAATACCTCGAGTGGGATTGGAGCCCACGATCCCAGTGTCTGAGCGGGCGAAGACGGTTCACGCCTTAGACGGCGCAGCCACCGTGACCGGCGGGGTTTAACCGCGTATAAAAGCTTACAAAGCAATGAGCTTAGTTACGCTGCATTTGGGTGGCGTTCAGACGAGGCGATGATGAGAATGATTGGAGGTGCACACAGATCTGAGGGATCTCAGTCCAGCTTAATGTTGGGTATATTCTGATGGCAATATCCTGGATGAAGCAGGATCATTTGGCGTGCGAAGAAACACTGGATGCGGGGGAAACAGAAATCAGTCGTTATTCGAATACAGGACGAGAAGCTAATACTAGCAGAGAGGTAATGGCAGTCCTGAGTTTCAGTTACGAAATTAAAGGCATTTCCTTTCATTATACGCTGGTCTTGAGGCCTATCAAAGTGACGTTGGGCAAAATATACGTCCCCTGAGCCAGACGTGGTCTCAAACCTCTTTCTGGCAGTTACATAATTAATATGGTCTTTCACCGACGTTTCGTCATATCTACATTTTAATCTGAAAATATTTGAAGAAATAATTGAAATTTTAATGGAAATACGGATCCAAATTTTATGTGAACCTATTTACTAACTTATTTTCGTTAATCGTATACATGTCTGCAGATTTACATTAGACAGTCAATTGGCACGTTTCAGGTTTGGTTAAATGCACGTCTTTCTCGTTCTGAGAACATTAATCTGATATCACGATAACTTGCTGGAATTAGATGTTAATTACGTTATGTTTGTCTTCCTCGGATCATGACGCGTCCTGTTGTTGGAAATAATTACATAACTTGATGCTTGTAATAATTTCTAATAGACATTTCTTCTGATTGTTTCTTTAAAACAATCCAGCGTTTAAAAATTATTGCCCAACTCGTAAAACAACGATGCTGTATACCTAGAAAGTGACAGTTATATAGGTTTCCTATTTCAAGAATTGAAAAATAAAGTTATAATAACGACAAAAACGAAAGGACAAGAGGTTCATTATTCAAATTTTTAAGCACTTTAAAGAACCGTATATTCAGGGAAGGCAAATTTGAAGTGTGTTGCTGGCCCAACTACAGTTTACACAAACTATTCACTCACACAAATTTAAATGGCTTAGAATATTACAGTCCGGATAGATGCTGCAGGAAAGCGTGTTTTTATATGGAAAAGGAAACTCAAAACTAGAAAATTCGTTCATATATGAGATCAAAATCAGTTGTTCGGATGCCTAAATTGTCTTTACCCTTTCAAGCCTGAAAATCACGTAAATAATATTTAAGAACTTAGTTCACACCAGGTGGAAAATAAAACGTGTCTCTATTACGGAGCCCAACTGAGTAATTCTGTGAAAAAAATCGCTTGTATGTTGTCAGAATCGCACGAAAGATATAAAAACTACACCGCTTTTATGTTAAGGCGGGTGGTGCCTACGTGTATTAACCATTGTAGTTTAATAAGTCAAGTGCTTCCTATGTTAGCATCTACTGGATGACGTGCAACTCTATATAGGCCTGTTGTAGTCTACGCGTTTAAAAGTCCTACAGCCTTGTCGCTGCTCCCATGACGTCATCTAACACAACTGTATTTATTTGTGCTCTTTGTCTAACAAATTCCATGAAGAGGTCTCCTTCTTGAAAATCTAACAGTCGCTCAGCTAGTCAAGAAATCTCCCGCCTTTTCTGAAGACAAATCTTTCTTACAGTGTTCATATAGGCTGTTAAGCCCGACATCCTTTGTAAAATTTCACAGCATGCAGGAATTCAGTAGGGAGCTGTTAGCCCCACGTATAATTACAAAGCTGGAGGACCACCTTATATCGACTGACCTACACAATATATTCGATATACTCGCAGCTAGAATCTACATCTGGAGGGCGTCTCCTCCATCCACACCCTCAGGACGCGACATGCCGAGCTGTCAAGGGAGCCACTCTTTATCTGATTTCGGTTAACCCCTGCTAACGGTCTCGTGTGATGTGAAGCCTAACTGGAAGCATGTTCGTACATTAGTCTAATTTGTATTTAGGCGTAACAAAAAGCTAAAAAGTAAAGGTGTCCCTGTAACAAGCCATGGAGGCCCATAAGGTTGTGAGAAATTGAAGCTCCCACATTATCTAGACAGTCGGCTCACAGATGGCGGTAAGGTTGTCAGCCTTACGCTCCGGCCACCCTTTACCCCCCAGGAAGATTCCTGGTACTCGTTTCTGTTAGAGGTTGAGTCAACCTCAGGGCCATAGTGCGGCTGGAAAGATGAGGTAACTTGAAAAAATCCACCTCATCGGGACTCAAATCCGCGACCTCCCGGCTTGTAGCATAGTACTTCAACCAACTACGCTACCGCGTGCCCCTGTAGACCTAGCAATCATTATTCAAACAGACCCACATAAATATTTGTTAATATTTTGAATTGTGGCAGATCTCAGGAAGGTAGGCCCTGTGTTACTTTCTGAAAATAACGAGTAATCTTAACAAGACATTGAATCTGGCTTTACACGTCTGTACTTGTACTGATGTAGGCACGTGTTCACGCAGCTTGCTAGGCTGGTCGCTGTTGTGGCCTAGTATGGACAAGCAAGAGTGAGCCCACATGATGATCACTACTAGGGCCCATTAATTCAGATCAATAACACTTATCCTTTCTACATCAGCTATTTAAACATCGTCAGATAATCGCCAAACAAATTATATTGTCTTATACTGTATTGTATTATAATAATGTAGCCTGTTACACGTTACTAAATTGAAAGTTTCTGAAATTAATACTGCCTATAGAAGTAATTTAAGATTTGGAATTAGATTATAGCTTATATAATAGGTCTAAATTTCACACAAGGAAACGAAATCCGTTTTTTCTGCAGCTATTCCCTAAATCGTCGACAATTAAGTTAATTAAATTGACCTAGGCCTAAGTTAACACAAACCTTCATATTCTTCAGCGTATGTTATGTTTGCTTAATTTGCAAAATGTGTATCAGTTTTCGTTTCTGTCACACAAATGGATCCGCCTACTTCATGAGTATTCTAGAGACATGGATGAAGGAGAAAAATAGGCATAATCCAATAGGCTCAATTTTGGGACAAGAGTCAGTTTGGCTTAAAATTAAGAATAAATTTCGAACACTTATGTTCTTATGTCTTTAGACATTATCCACCGTCCTGCCCATATCTAAAAACCGTCCTGTTTATTTTTCAAAACAACTTTTCGGAGGCTGGATTCTGTCTCCGTCTTCAGGTAAAAACCTAGTCAGTTCGGAGATAGGGAGAAGCTTTATCGATTGGATCCAACTGAGTAGGTTTAACCTGAAGACGGAGACAGAATCCAGTCTCCGAAACGTTGTGTTTTGAAAAATAAACAGGACGGTTTCTTTTAGATAAAGGCAAGACGATGGATAATACCCAAAAACATAATATTTGTACTAATGCACCATCGTCACAGACTTCTGATCTTATTTCTGTTCGTTTCTACGCTACGCCACAGTTGTGTGCTTAGCCATTTGATTCTAAAGTAAACATTTCAGGGCCGTTCGATATTTGTGCTACAACACCGAACTTGTAGCCAACTTACAATAAGTAATATAATTAAGCCACCGAAATTTGTGTACGAACCATGGCCAATAACGGAGCCTCGCCAAACTTCCGCTGAGCAAGTTACGTTTCGCTTTGTGAGGGACGAAACAAAATATGTAACACAATTTTCTGTTGTGAAACGTCTAATTTTGTTCGGCAATAAAATGTTTAATATTGTTTTAGCCTGTTATCCTCTCAATTAGTACGGATGGATGGGATAATTAGGCCTTATATGTGGAGGATCATATAAGTTTGCATCATAGTTAAACTTTCCTTCGAAGAGGAAGATTAGTTAAAACTACTAGAAACATAATACTTCTACACAGTAACAATATAACTGAAATTCTTTGTTATTTTAATTTGCTAATAGCAAGAATAAGCTGAATTAGATGACTGCTCAGTGGAACAAGAGAACGTGCAAGTCTGTGTAATTGGTCAGCAAGTGTACGTTATCAGTCTACAACCGCCGTCACAGTAAAACAAGAAATTATTGAACCTGTAATATGATAATGAAATAAAAGAAAAATACGCTTATATTGCAAGATATCTGTACTCTGAACAAGTGTAGAACTCACTAACTTAGGGGGCAACAATTTCACTTGCAGATTATCATATTACGGGGAATTTGCTTTGAGTCAGTGGCAAGAAATGGAAGCACTACATAAGAAACGACCAACATTAACAAAGTGTTAGTCATATATTAGGCATCGCTGTTCATTTCGAAAATTATTTTAAAATAAATTTCATGTAATATTTAGTGCATGGGCCTATGTTTTCATTTTGGCATCTGTCACGTTTCATTTCAGTCTCGCTTTAACAGATTCGCGTGAAAATTGTATTATCAATATTGGCCGTTCTTCTGAAGTGTTTTCAGTTATGTAAAAAGTAGCAAAGTTTTCTGTAATTTTTAGTGTTTATTTTTCATTAATAGTTTAAGTTGGCCGCAAAGCATAAGAACTGATATTGCAAGAAGAAACGTTACTTCTGGTGACATATAAAAATTACCATGGCAGTGCCAGTGTCAAGACGAATATGTAGATGCACTCTCTTTATATATAAAATCTCTTGTCAGTATTTACATACATTATTTTCACAGATTTACTATACAAGTATGCACATAGCTCAACTCGGACACAGTCCCGACAACTAAACACCTACAAGGAACGTGTAAAGATGAAGACAACACATGTCTAGTTCATTGTCTCGGCTCACTTGTTTTGGAATAAGTTATGAGGAACATGCTGGACTCACTCAGTACTTGGGAGGACCGCTGCAGTCTTGCTGCTGGTAGTACGACGCTGGAGGCCTGTACGCCGCGGCGCTCGCCGGCGGAGACGCCGTCACTGCAGAACTGCGAAACCCGAGCTGACAACTAGGGTTCGGTACTGCTTCGAACAGGTCCCTGAAGCCGGAAGTGGACTCACTAACCTCTGCGGTGCTATACCAGGCTGCACTCGCCGCCGCAGCCGTGTGCCGCCCCCCACTGAACTGTTGCGTGGCCCCCAGCTGGTGGTGAGTCGCGGTGGTCCCAGGGGTGGATGCAGTGGATGTCGTGGGGACCAGCAACTCGTCCTGGTGCATGATCCCCTGGTGATACTGTCCCGTGCAGTGGTATGAGTACATCGCGCCACGCGAACCCGGGTAGCTCAAGTGCTGCTGCTGTTGTTGTGGCGGGCTGCCGCCCCTACTGCCCCCCGTCATGAGACTGTCCACACTGAACGTACCCACCACCCCCGAGGTGTCCATACTCACATCCGTCATGTGGTGGTCCACGACAACTCCCGGCTTTACGTCTTGCTGTTGGTATTTGCTGTTCATGCAATTGCTCAGTTCTACTGTGGGTTCGCGTTTAGGTTTGCACTCCACGGGACTCGACTTCAGGACCTTTGTGTCTGTGGCACTGCTGCTAAGAAGGGCCTTCTCCTCGGCCCGTTTGTGCCCTTCCTGTTGCTGTTGTCTCTTGAGCGCCTCTTCCTTCTCCTTTATGGCGTCCTTCTTCTTGAAGCGTCGCCTGCGCCTCAGGTAGGAGCCATTGTCGAACATGTTGTAGGAGTCGGGGTCCAGGGTCCAGTAACTGCCCTTGCCCGGCTTCTTGTCATCCCGCGGAACCTTGACGAAGCACTCGTTGAGGCTCAGGTTGTGTCGGATGGAGTTCTGCCAGCCCTGCTTGTTTTCCCGGTAGTACGGGAACCTCTCCATGATGAACTGGTAGATGCCGTTTAGTGTTATCCTCTTGTCCGGCGCGTTCTGGATGGCCATGGCTATGAGAGCGATGTAGGAGTAAGGTGGCTTCACCATGTCCTTGACCGGCCCATGATGGAGTTGTTGTTGGTGAGGGTTCAGTGGGTATGGGGTCGCGGCGTAGGGGTAACGGGAGTACTGGTCATAAGGGTAGGCGGCGGTGCTGGCGCTCATGTGATGTGCCGCCCCCGACATGGCGCCCGGGTAACCAGCGGCAGCAGCAGCGGCGGCGGCAGAGTGGCGGTAGTAGCCATTCTGGTCCCCGAACAGCGTGTGCATGTTGATCGTGGTACTCCCGGAGTAAGTGCCGTGCTCCAGGGTGACGTTCGACGGCACCGAGGTGCCGCCTCACACGGCCTCCATAGCACCTATCGCCCGGTGCAGGTTGCTTGTTGCTTTGTTGGCCGATCAGCAAACATCAACACTATTAACAACACATGTGTAGAGAGGAGTGTGGTGGGGGGAGGCAGGATCTCTAGCAGTGACTCCCCCTGGCCAAGTTCCTCAGCATAAACATTTCGACTGCCCCTGCTGTACCGATAAAAGTTGTGGCAGAATGCAATCACTCGCAAAGCAACTTCTTATTATGACACACAACACAGCCCGGTTTACACAGAGATTAAGTGAAAACAGTCTGGTTGTTTCCTTTCACCACAAGGCTCACAATGTAGAGAAAACAGTGGCTGGTCCCGGTCGAATTAGCGAGCTAACGCAAGATCAACAAGCAGTGCCGGACTGAGAGGAGTGCTGGGGGCTCGCTCGGCAAGGCAGACAGGAGCGCGGGTTGCGACGCACGCATTGGACAATCGGTGTCACATGGCACGCCCATATCTCCCCTCCGTGACCAACAGGATCGCTTCTCTTAGCGGAACCACGCCCTACTCATGCACCCTTAATTGAATTCGAAAGGCAAAGGAGGCGTTTATTCAATTTGGATCGTTCGCACCCTGATACCCCCCTCCCTCCACTCAGACATCCCCCCGGGTGGTTTCTTTTAATGAAACCCCACCGCAGCAATTCGACAGCAAGAACATGTTCTCTCTCCCGATACTTGCGTGAGAAAGAGATGGAACGGGGGGCAAAAAAGATTTTAAATTGAATTTTGCTGGAAGGATCTTCTAAACAGATTACTATCACCCTAAGAGAAACACCCGAGGTAACTAACACCATATCTTACGATGTACCTTCTCATATGTGGACTTTGGCTTGGTGGGAAGAGGGTTTGGGGGGGGGGGGGGGGGGACGGACAGCTCAGGAAAAGGCTTCGAAGCCAGAGAAAACAATGTAGCATTACACATATAAACCGGGTCGGCCGTCAGGACCGTGAAGCCACAGTGGTGGAGGCCTCCGTCCTTATCTGCAGGCGTGCGTGTTTACTGTGCAGTGACTTGTTGGTGCCTAGCCGTGTTCACTTCAGCGGTGCTCTTACAGGTACTTCGTAGTGTTTATTAATTTCATTTAGATCGTTAACTGATATCCACGTTGTTCTGCATGTGTTCTGTAAGGTCATACCCCAAACGCTGCATCTAGCGTGCTTTTATTACATCTGGGACTAGCTTCTGTTCATCCCCTATAGCAGCCTTTTCTTTTTTTACTTTTATGGATAAATTTCGTAAGAAAGTACGTTTTTTTATATCTTCCCAGAAATTTCAGGAGGTTGGGAGTGGCTTCAACCAGTAAATCCCTCAAAATAAGGCACTGCATCATATATTTGAGTTTAAATTTATGAAAGCATAGAAGAATCCAGTTGGCGTTCTACACACGTGGGACGGCGTAAGTATTTACGCGTGTTTCTAGCCTGTGATTTCAACTTAAGTAAGGCTGGTAGGTGCAGCCTTATTCCTAAAGGAACATTCAAAAGAGACAAGCAAAATGGAACACTATGTTTAGTTATTTGGTAATGTGACTGTGAATGTAAGTTTTGTTGGAATTGGTTCTGAAATGGGTTAAACTAAAAACTTCATATCATTTACCATTAAAACCACAGCTGGAAATTATAAATTCGGGTAATAAGAACCTTGACGTTCTGAATTGTGGGCCTGCTGTTAGTACCTGCCTGCTACATCGACTGTGAACCGGAAGTGACGCCTCTCGCAACACAAATCATTTCAGTTCAGCTTACCTCCTCATATTCGTCCCTTCACATGCGTTGCTGTAGGCCTGTCTTGTGCAAGGTTCCGAATTTTTATTAAACTTTGGAAACATATCGTGACGCTACTTAATTGTACAGAAACAAATTTCATGGCATTCAGTGTTAAGCGGTTCATCAATTGTGCATTGGTGTAGGTCCGTATATGCTTTGACTGAATTCCTAGTTCGTATGTTTGAATCAGTCTTGAGTGAGGTTTGTCACTCAGTCCAGATAGGCTAAAGACACGAAATGTGGATAGAGCCCTAAATTAATTGTTCCCTATGTTAACGTTACGAAAAATAAATGCTGATTCCTGCTAATTCGGTAGAGTCAAGAATTTTCTCTTCTCCAAGACGTCCAGACCGGCTCTGGGGTCCACGCAACCTCCTATCCAATGAGTACCGGGGCTTTTATCCCGGGGGTAAAGCGACAAGGGCGTGAAGCTGACCACTCATCTCCTTCCAATGTCGAGGTCAAGAAAATATGGATCTATACATCCACTCCCCCATACGCCTTCATGGCGGAGTACTTAATTAGTTAATCACAAGGACAACTTTACCTGCTTCCTGCTAATTAGAAGTTGAAAAAAAGTATGTTCTCTTATTTGCGGAACTAAAACGAATGGTGAACCGGAAATCATTTGAAAGGAAACGGTCGTGACCTAATCGAGGTACTATCCCAGCATTCGCCAGGAGGACCTGAGGAATACCACGGTGTTCTGATCAATAATGCAGCGGAGTAGCTACAGAAAGCGAGTCTGGAACTGTATCTCTGTACCACCCTGTTCCGTACGAATTCGTTGTTGCGTCATCGCAATTCTGACACCAAACATCGATCTTACGTCATCAGCATTCCTTCATATTCGGGAAATTCGGGTTCGAATCCTGTCACAGAGGCCGACTAACCTGGCTGAGGGGGTCTCTTCAGGCAAATCGTTACAAGGGCATAGAAAAGATCCATTACCATAAGCGAAGAACATCACAGGATCCTGTGCAGAATATCCAGTGGGATAGAGAGCAAGGAGGATGCAGGAAACTGCATCATGAGACGGCTACTCGCCGCTTAACAGGTAATCTTCATGATGATTATATCAACCGGGGGGGGATGGCGCGTAACACAATTGGGGGGGATAAATGCTCATAAAATTTCAGTTAGCTAACCTAAGAGGAGCCCGCCACGGTAGCCGTACTGTCTTCGCTCGCTCGGAAACCGGGATCGTGGGTTCGAATCCCACACAAGCCATGGATGTTTGGTGTGTGTACGCCTTTATTCTGTGTTTGTGTTGTCCTGTGTTTAGGTAAAGGCCTTGCTATGAGCTGATCACCCATCCAAGGAGTCCTACCTTCTGTAAAGTGATCATGAAACTGAGAAATCAACTTTATGCTCCAAAGTGCGAGCAAGAAGAACCCGCTTGGAAGACGTGGATTGTAGAATAGACCTATTACTGAAATGGATAAGATGGGAGGGCCTGGACTCAGTAGGTACGAACTAGGAATTCAGTCAAAGCATATACGGACCTACACCAATGCACAACTGATGAACCGCTTGACACAGAATGCCATGAAATTTGTTTCTGTACAGTTAAATAGTGCCTAGGTAAGTGTCTAGTGAAGGACACAGACCCCCTTAAGATGAACTTTCGTGTTCCGTGAAAACCTTAACCAACTGATAAGACTATCAGTCTGCTTCATGAAGCTAACTAATTAGTAATTAATTAAAATTACGCGTGTAATATTTATCTATTTCCCTTTTTTCTCCTAATTTTGTGTTTGAAATTCCCATTTATATATGTTCCTTGTTTCATAGGTCACATTTCTTCAAATTATTCCCATCGCTGTACAGATAACTCATATTGAGGTCCAAGCAAAATGTTCTAGTCTCTGAGAAACAGGAGAGGGCCTATGATATAAAATCCAGCCTCTTCGGTCCGTTATAATTACTACCTTTTTTTTTCCTTGGCACTACAGCCCCAGTGGACCTAGGCCTACCTCCATGAACTTCTCCGTTCACTTCGGTTTTTCTAGATCTTGCACATTCAGTAGGACTCCTTGGGCGAGTGATCAGCTCTTCGTAAGGCCTCTACCTGTACACAAACACAGAAAAACGAACACAAACATCCATGCCCTGAGTGGGATTCGAACCCACGATCCCGGCTTTCGAGCGAGCGAAGACAGTGCACGCCTTAGACCGCTCGCAGGACTGAATTATTATATGCCTTCTTTATAATTATAGATTCTTTACGAAACGTAAGCTTCTATAAAATGAACTGATAATTGGAAGGCCGTAAAGTCTGTTGTCTAATTTCTTCTCCAAAACAACGTAGGCGTAACGGGGTTTAATTGAAATTTATGTTAGTGCAAGCATGCACTAAAGGATTCCAAGATAATTTAATTCTGATCTCTTATTAGTCGATAGACTCATGATGTTTGCCTACTTTTACTACGCCTGTTTATTATTATTATTATTATTATTATTGTTGTTGTTGTTGTTGTTGTTGTTGTTGTATTTCTATGTACTCGTGACAACTTTGTTATTGACCTCTGTGCTGTTAAGTTTTTACGTAAATAAACACGAATTTAATTTAATTTAATTATTATCATATATGCATCAGCTGCTAATGTTGTTTGCAGGGATGTTGACGCATTCGGAGCCAGGAAAGTTCTCCTCAATCGTTCTTTGTAATGTGCTTTAATTGTTACTACTGTTATTTGCACGTACCTGAACTAGAACTGAATTTAGTTTTCATTCTTTCTAAATATTTACACTTTACAGTTCTTAAATCTCAGTAGCATCTAAGATTTGTGTTAATGAAATTATTATTTTATTGTAACTTTATTTGTTTGTTTCCTTCTCTGGATTAGTGTGTTNAATATAGACAACAAGCTGAATAATTACTATTATCCACTCTGAATATTTATACTTTTCATTTCTCAATTAAATATTTATACGTTTCATTTCTCAGTTCTAAATAACAACTTCGATTTATGTTAATTAAATTATTATTTTTTTTTGTTTACTTGTCTGCATTAATGTGTTTTTCCTCGAGAGCTTGCCTGTAATTTGTCTTTGACTTTATGTTATGATTGTTCATAATGTAATTACCTGTTATCTACCTTGCTCTGTGACTGTAGTTTACTTTGCAGCTTTTGATTGACACATAAATAATAAAGAACTGAAATGAATTATTGTTATTGTTATTATTGGGGTGTTACTGCGCCCACTATTGGTCTATTGTACCAGCCCAAGATGATAGATAATTGGTAGAATGAAGATTGACAGGGGAAGCCGAAGTACTCGGAGAAAACCTGCCCCAGAGCCACTTTGTCCACCACAAATCCCACATGATCAGACCCGGGCTCGAACCCGGTCCGCCGCGGTGGGAAGCCAGCGACTAACTGCTTGAGCTTTGGCGCGGCCAATACCAACTTTACGTGCAACTGAAATAAGTTTAGAACTTTTTATCATTTTTTCTAAAATATGATTCATCATAAAGGACATGCCTGTTCTAAGTACCATGAAATATAGGCCCATATCTCATTAATAACTGTAATATTTATTTCAAACATTCTTCTAAGTGATTTAGGTCTATATTTATCGAATATATGTAGTGTTAATGACCGCCTCTATGGCCTAAGGGTCAGAGTTCCTGGATACATTCCAGAGGTCCCAGGTTCGATTCCCGGCGCTACCAGATTTTCTGGGAAGTAGTGGGTCTTGAACGAGGTCCACTCAGCCTCGTGAGGATAATTGAGGAACTATTTCAAGGAAATTGCGGTTCCGGTCTAGAAAACCGAGATTAACGGCCGTGGGGATTCGTTGCGCCGACCACGCGACACCCTCTATCCGCAAAAGTTGGCACTAATCTCACATAGAAGCGGCGGTCGCTCGGTTGGTGTAGTTGGTTTGCCGGCTAAAGCCACGGAGTTATGTAGTGTTAATAGGTTTAATATATATATTCTTAACTGAAATAATAGATACATATCTACAATAAGCAAACATAAGTATTTAAATTTACCTCCTTGTTCTACTGGGTCACTAGTTGAGACACTATGCTGCAAGCCGGAAGGTAGCGGGTTCGATTCCCGATGAGGTAGTTGGATTTTTTTAATTGACCTAATACTTCCAGCCGCATTATGGCCCTGGGGTCGACTTGGCCCCTAACAGAAATAAGTAGCAGGAATCTTCCGGGATGGAGGGGCTAAAGGTCGGCCGGGGCGTAAGGCTGAGAGCCTCACCGCCATCCGTGGGTCGATTGTCTAGAATATGTGGGAGCTTCGACGTCTCACAACCTTATGGGTTTCCACGGCCTGTTACAGGGAGAGCTCTACTTTCTTTTTACCTTGTTCTACTGGTTTCTTAAGAGTATCCAACTTTCTTGCTACTTCTCCTTCAAAAGACACAGATGCATTTATTTCAGAAACCAAATATCCCTAAGAGCTACACAAGAATCTTTATTTACTTTGATTAATAACACGACAAAGGGATAAGACAGTCTGCCTCTTGTCTGACGGCGGTTCAAGGGTTCTTGCATTCATTCATCTGAGCTTACCCTCCGCTATGTGCCCAAGGGGCAAAAGCAGCCCACAGCCAGCAGAAGCGGCACGTGGACCATTAAGCTTCAAATACTCATACACTCTCTCTTTCTAGTTTCGATTTCCCACCATCGAGCCAGCACCCCTTTAATAGGAAGGACCGGCGGAAATGGCGAAGTTCAGCCAAAGCCATAGACACCCCGAGCACACCAGCTGCATCAGCAAACGGCTCCACGTTGCGGGGGTATTACCCCCCACAACTTTCCGCAACTGTGCGATTTCCTCATTATCTGGGGTGGGTGATTCTGTGGTTTAACGTGTGATGTTATTACAGGGGAGTGTAATTATATGTTGAGTCATTCCTGCGTCTGTTAACATGCATCAAAAAGCGTGCTCCTCTCCATTTTGTTGGTAACATCAAACTCACGCATTTGTACGGTGCGCATGCGTAAAGCGAACGTAGTTCTGTGTATTGTGGGTCGGTCCGACTTCATGAGATGAGCGTCCGACACATCCGCGCTCGCAGAAAAAATAGAGCGCATTCTAGATCAAGCTTCATAACTTGTACTCTTCTACAAGTATAATTAGAATGATCAAGTCAACGAGGGTGAGGTTGGCAGCGCATGTAGCACGAAGAGAAGAGGAATGTATATAGAATATTGGTGGGAAAGCCAAGGCGTAGGTGGGTGCAAATATTAAAATAATCTTAGAGAGATAGGATGGGATGGTATGGATTAGATTGATCTGGCTCAGGATGGGGACCAGTGGAGGGCTCTTGTGAACACGGTAATGAACATTGGGGGTTCCATAGGTTCCATAAAATTCTGGGAAATTCTTGAGTAGCTGCAGAATTGGTGGCTCCTCGAGAAGGGCTCAGCTCCATGAGTAATAAATAATAATAATAACAATAATTCTAATTCAAATAAACTAAAGCGACACTCTTGTCGGTGCCTCGTTTTCGGGCAGTCCAGGATTCAAACCATGGCCAATATGCTGACTATGATGACTGAGAACTTTTGCGATTCTCTTCAGTCACTCCTGATATATAGCGCATTATAACAGGCCACGATCACTTCCACATCCTTTCCAAATCATCCCATCATTTGGCTCTATAAAACGTAGGAACTTGAAAAAAAAACGCCGTTAAATAAAGTTAGTTGATCAAAATAGATCATAATATATGTAGATCTACTTACATCACGTGAAGAAGAAGTTAATAATCTGTGATCTTCAGAAAATTGGTAAAACTATCCATGTAACAGGCTGTGGAGGCCCATAGGGTTATGAGCCGTCGAGGATGCCATATTTTCTAGAAAATCGGATCACAGATGACGGTGAGGTTGTCAGCCTTACGCAAGATTCCTGGTACTCATTTCTGTCAGAGGTTGAGTGGATCCCCAGGGCCATAGTGCGGCTGGAAGGATTAGGTCAATTGAGAAACCCAATGACCTCATCGGGAATAGTAGTAGTAGTAGTAGTAGTAGTAGTAGTAGTAGTATTAGACCGCATATGCACATAGATCTACATATTTTGCAGTTTCTCACCTTGGCCTGAAGTACGTAAGTATTAGACCGCTGAAAATGTTGCATACATTCAATTGAAGCTTTTACCCACAGGGGCTAAGTTAACATAATTAATGTTTACACCAAGATCACACGATGTTTTAGTCCAGAGGTCTGAAGCATGTTTGTCCTACGGATCAAAAAGTGGTTAATGTACTTTGTCTTCCTCTGTCTACAATCGGTTCGCATGAATTACAATACATAAGGCACTTTCAGTAAATGTGTTGTTAACTTTGTAGAGATTAATATAAGACCTCTATTGAATTCTTCCCATCACAGTGGCCGCGCAGTCTAAGGCTAGAGCCGTCTTTGGCCTCTCGAATATTGGGGTCGTGGGTTCGAGTCCCACTCGAGGAATGGGTGTCTTGTGTTTTTGTTCTTCTGTCTGCAGGTAGCGGCCTTGCCACAGGCTGATCCACCGTCCAAGGAGTCTTATCGACTGTGTATAGAATTAAGAAACTGAAAAAGCGGCCCAAGTCCAAAGGGCTGTAGAGCAACAGAAAGAATTTGATTTGTTTCATTCTGGTCCGTCACACTAACAATTATATAGACAAAAACAACACCGTCCAGTGTGACTATTTAAGTTTTATTACTAGTTTCCGGAAAAAGTATTGATGCCCTCTGAGGATGATCCGTAGGGATCGAAACATGTAAGGGTGATGAGTTTTCAAGTGATAAAACTTAAATAGTCACACTTGACGGTGTTGTTTTTTGTCTTTACAACAGAAATAAATTAATTCTAGCCCACGTGTGGTGTAAAAATGTATGTGAAAGTTGTAAGCATCGTTTACCATTTGTCAGCTCAAACAAGTGTAAAACGGCCAAGGAATACTCCACATTAAAGGGCACAAATGTATTCTTTGCATGAAATTTGACCTTCTCACGGTGCTGAACCTTAATACTTACACTTTGATTGAGGGATACTTATGATGTAGGCAGTAGTTTCATCCGAAACGTTGTTATTAATTATTACTTCTCAGCCCTGAAGTTGGAGACACTGCATTATTCCGAAAAGTTGGTACCCATCTGCCAAACTACACAGTCTAGTATGGCAGCAGACGGTAATCTTTCATTCTTTGCAATTTTAAATTCCTTACAGATTTCTATGTTCATCTATTGCAAATACAAAACATATTGACACAGACAGTGCCTACAGACTTGAACGCTGTTTTCTTCCTCTTCCTCTTTGGACATTTTACATTAAAAAATAGTTATTTTAAGTTTCCCCTGGACTTAATTAATTAAGCACCACGAAATGAAGCCTTATGAGGAAGTGGAATTACAGCTCCAATATTCTTCACCTCGGCACTAGATGGAGATCAGTGTTCAGCATCACGCCCTAGCCGCTTCACCCCCGAGGAAAGAGTTCCCGGTATCCTTTGGATAGGAGGCTGGATGGGCCGCAGAGCTGGTCTGGAAGCTGAGGAGAAGAAGGAAACCTGATGTCACTACCCGGAGATCGAACCCCGGCCATCTGGCACGTAGCCCGTCGGTATATGGACTCAGTCTTCCCGGTTCCTAATTGGAAAAGGTACGTTTTAAGTAACAGTTATAGATCTTAATTAAATCTATCTTAGTTAATATCTTACACAAATTTATTTAGACGATGAAACTCGCACTTTCATTTAAGATATTTGTAATTCGTAGAATACTGGGGAATATAACTGGAGAAGTGGAGCCTACCGGGCTGAAACTCTCACAGTTTTTAGTATAATCCTCCCCCTCCCAAAAAGGCTAAATTTTGAAATCAAATTTGCAGACGATAAAATGAGCATGTCCTCCTATGAATGCGTTACTTTATGCTCTTAGTTGGAAGACTTGAGTAAAGATGAATTTGGGCCTATTTGAAACGAGTAAATGTATATTTATTTAAAAAGACACGCAATTTTGCGGATATAAGGACAAAGGTAAAATTGTCCCTGAGCTTAACTAATTAATCACTACTCCAGAAAGGCGTATGGGGGAGTGGATGTATAGATTCACATTTTTTGACCTCGGCAATAGTTGGAGATGAGTGGTCAGCTTCACGCCTCTGCCGCTTTAACCCCCGGGGAAAGAGCCCCCGGTAGGCATTGATGGGAGGTTGGGTGGACCCCAGGGTCGGTCTCGTCGATATGTAGAAGCGAAAATTCTTGACCCCACCGGTCTTCCAGCCCGTAGCCAGTCGCTATACCGACTGCGTTGTCACGGCTCCCTGAGCAGAACAGTTTTAGCCTGAAGAAGTAGACAATTGTTGTTGTTGAAGCTGTTGTGAAAACAGACGTTTTCTTTCTCACCCAAACCAGTCTCATCCTCTTCTTGCAGAAGAATGTAGCTGCACTACAACACTCAGTCTCCAACTATAGGCCTATTTCATAAACATCTGCACTAGATGGAGATGGGTAATTAGCTTCACGCTCCAGCTGCCTTGCACCTCGAATGGGTCGGTATTTGTGTAGTGTCGAGAAAAATGATCCCCTGCCCTAAACAAGCATTTTTGATACATCATTTGTAGCGTCTAAACGAACTGAGATATATTTATTGTAATATTCCCATAACACTTACTCAGTACACATAAGCAATTGCTGTCATAATAAAAGAATATTTAACAAACTGAAGCATGGCGTTATTTTAAGTGATACTGTGGTCAAGTGGTTAGAGTTCTTGGCTACACATCCAGAGGTTCCGGGTTCGATTCCCGGCGCTACCAGAGTTTCTGAGAAGCATTGGGTCTGGAACGGGGTCCACTCAGCCTCTTGAGGATAATTGAGGAGCTATTTCTAGGAATTAGCGGCTCGGGTCTAGAAACCCGAGATCAACGGCCGTAGGGATCCGTTGCTCTGACCACGCTACACCCTCTATCCGCTAAATTTGGCACCAACTTCGCCGAGAAGCTGCGGTCGCTCGGTCGGTATAGTTCACTCGCGGACTACAGGCCACGGAGTATTATAAATTCAGTTCCTACCTGAAATATAACAGACTTAGCGACCGCCCTTTGTAGGCGAATTTAGTGCCAATTTTAGCGGATAGAGGTGTGTCGCGTGGTCAGCGCAACGAATCCCCACGGTCGGTACAGTTCGCTCGCGGACGAAACCACGGAGAGTTTACCTGAAATATAATACTCAGGATCTCCGTTATAGAAATCAGTCTGTTAATTGTTCCTGGGGATATAATCACTCTTCATGAACCACATAAATATACTCCGTGGCAAAATACAGAGTTGTTTAATATTAAATTAGGGGGTACATATTGTCACGTGTATCCTGGTACGCGATAATAAATAATAGGTTCCGGATTTGATAACTCGATTTATTTGAAAATTTCACACGTCGTAACTACAATTTGTAATTATACAAACGATCAGCTCCTGAACTGCCTTGAATGACGTCTTCCTGACGAAACCTTTTGAAGAGTCTTAACTGCTCCTTATACAGAATGTAAATAAATATATGTTACAACGCTCTGTGGTAGCTATCCGATCGTGTTTTGTTACTGCACCAATGTCCGGGAAAGCTTCCTTTTGACACTAAGGGCCACAATGTAACCAAGAGGATGCATAAGTTTTAGGGGATGTTATCATTGTTTTACATTATAAAAGTTGCTCAAAATGGCGGCCGCCAACTTCATTGCATATTCTGCACGGCCTGGCCATATTATTCTGAACTCTTTGAAAGATTCCTGGCATTTCCCAGATGGTTCCAGCTGCTACTGCAATTCTTGCCACAAGTTCATGTTGTGTCTCCACTGGAGTCTTGTACACCACGCTCTGCATGCACCCCCAGAGAAAGGAATCCAGTGGAGTCAAGTCAGGAGAGCGTGGGGGCCAGGTTATTGGGCCTCCACGTCCACTCCATCGGTTGNAGTTGGAGATGAGTGGTCAGCTTCACGCCTCTGCCGCTTTAACCCCCGGGGAAAGAGCCCCCGGTAGGCATTGGATGGGAGGCTGGGTGGACCCAAGGGTCGGTCTCGTCGATATGTAGAAGCGAAAATTCTTGACCCCACCGGTCTTCCAGCCCGTAGCCAGTCGCTGTACCGACTGCGTTGTCACGGCTCCCTGAGCAGAACAGTCATAGCCTGAAGAAGTAGACGATTGTTGTTGTTGAAGCTGTTGTGAAAACAGACTTTTTCTTTCTCACCCAAACCAGTCTCATCCTCTTCTTGCAGAAGAATGTAGCTGCACTACAACACTCAGTCTCCAACTATAGGCCTATTTCATAAACATCTGCACTAGATGGAGATGGGTAATTAGCTTCACGCTCCAGCTGCCTTGCACCTCGAATGGGTCGGTATTTGTGTAGTGTCGAGAAAAATGATCCCCTGCCCTAAACAAGCATTTTTGATACATCATTTGTAGCGTCTAAACGAACTGAGATATATACCGTGAGAACCCGGTCTCTTCGCTTGTGGATTTCTTATATTTTTCCTTCTACCCTGAAGATGGAGGAGATACATTCCTCCGAAACGTCGGTTAACACCACATATACACGGTACCAAATCCCAGAAGACTCCTTTCTTCATAGTCACCGCCGTGAAAGCCTCAAACCTTTTACCATTGTTTGCTAAGAATTTTTCTTCGCTGTAACGTGTTTACCTTGCTGTTCCCTAGCAACGGATAGTTACCACTGTGTTTTAAACGGTCCGTAACTTTCGATCTAATTCTCCTATACTGCAAGGAGACTAACCTGCATTCGACGATTTTCTTACAGATACAAACACTGCTTGCCACTTCCTTGCGCAATGGTAAGCAGGTAATTCAGAGGCTGACTGACGATCGAGAACCTTTCCTCCGGTCCGTAGTCGCAGTCTTTGCTGACCGAATTTGTGAGACTGAAATGCTTTGTCCCCACTCTAACACGTGCACTAATACCTCTAATCCAGATCTGTCAGCCTACCTAATCCCTCCTTTGGTAAGGCGAGAGAAGCCGACAGAAAGATGACGCGCTACTCACATTGATTTACAGGGCCCAGTCTGTGCGACTCAACCATCTGGGCAGAGCCTGCAAGAATCTTCATCACTGTCTCGCTCATTTATCTAATTCAGCAGACCGAAGTTACTAAATTATATGCAAGCACCGAATTTTACTGCCGAATTTAAAGAGTGACCAGTCATTTCTCCCAAGGAATGCAGTAGAGGAACCTTGGATTTGATATTCGAGTCTATCGAACTCTTATAGCCACGTCTTGTTCAAAACAACCCACACAGGAAAACGAGATATGCCGTTTCTACTAGCGGCGGTGATGGAGTCGGTATAACAACGGGCTATTGGCTGGACGGCCGGGGTTCGCTTTCCGGTATGGCCAAGATTCTTCTCTTCACCACACTGTCCAGCCCGACGTTCTACCCAGCCCCCTCTCCAGTGGGTACTCGGTGTAAATCGGCCGGGGAATGAAGCTGACCACTCACATCCATCCAGTGCCGAGGTCGAGAAAGGTAGAGCTGTACCTCCACTCCCTCATATGTCATCATGGCGTATTGTTTAATTAATTAAGCAATCACAAGGACCTTTAGTAGTAGTAGTAGTAGTAGTAGTCCCCTGATACTAGATTTAGCTACTAGCTACTCACTAGGGACGAAATGTTGCTAGTGAAGGGAAGGAGTTCATCACCATGTCAACATAATTTTCGAGACTTTATCCACTAATCCTTTCTTAATCTGTCTTGATTCTGCAAGTATTTTATTTACAGCCAAGACCTCGGACCACATAAAGACACAATTTAACATTTGTTGTAGTAGACCCGCACACAAACTGGTTCTTGTTAATTTGCGAACAGTATGTGGTTTAGTCAGAGAACATCTGGGTTCTGTCAGACCAGACCGTGTATTCGGGGGGAATTCACTGACGTTTGACTCTGGAGTTCCAAGTGTGAGGGATGCTGCACTACTTCGCTCATCTGTTACATTGCTATTCACACTTACGTCACAGACTTGCTAGGCGGCTTTTTTTAACAAGTTATATTGTAAATCGCAGACATCTGCAGTTACTAACGTCCGCAGCATCATCATCATCGCCGCAGTATTTAATACTGAATATGCAGCCAAAAGTTTTAGTTAATTTTTACTGATCAAATATGGGAACTCTTCTCCAAGCATAATTAGAATGATCAAGTCAAGGAGGATGAGGTGGGCAGGTGATATAGCACGAATGGGGGAGACGAGGAATGCGTATAGGACATTGGTGGGAGAGCCAGAAGGAAAGAGACCACAGGGAAGACCAAGGAATATGTGGGTGGACAATATGTGAATGGATCTTAGAGAGATAGGATGTGGTGGTATGGATTGGATAGATCTGGCTCAGGATAGGGACCAGTGGAGGGCTCTTGCGAACACGGTAATGAACCTTCGGGTTCCATAACATGCTGGGAAATTCTTGAGTAATGCAGAATTGGTGGCTCCTCCAGAAGGGTTCAGCACCATGAGTAAGTAAGTAAGTAAGCTTCACAATGAATACTATAGTGCGTACTGCTTTGTTTTCGTCATCAAACTCCAATTCCGAGAGCCCTTAACAAGCTGAGAAGAAACCAGTCTTCTGGTATTTGGTGCCGTGTATATAT